TTATGATGAATTTATTATGTTGATCAGAAACATTCCTGTTTACTGTTTATGTTTATCTTTGTTATAGTACATTAATCCCTAGGGGGAAACGTGCCCTCTTGACCAATCTTAACTATTTAGGAAAAGCTCCAGTTCTGAGATCACTGTCAAGGGCCATGGAAGGAGTATGGGAGACTACAGGTATAGTAATATTAGCCGATATTTGGCTAGAGTCCTACCGACCAGGCCAATATATTTATTTATACTTATCTGCATGATCAGAGGCAGTGTTCAGTGTTAGTATTTTTGTTCTCTTGCCCAAGCAGGTAGATTTCTGATCCACGTACCCAAAGTCAATTTGTACTTTCACCTATACAAATGGTTTCATTTATGAAGAAGGAGGGCGAGTTGGCATCCCTCTTAGCTGCCAAACAAACTATGTCAGTGCAGCAACATTTCTCGCAAAATGTCCGTTTTATCCTCCTTGCTCTCAATTTTTTTGCAAACTATACAATACATAGTTGGAATTTTGCCCACATCTAAACTCCTGTGTCCAGCATAACTGAAATGTGTTCTTTCACTTTCGTTCATTCTGTGCTTGTGCAACTCTCAGCAGAGATGAGAAGGAAACGAGATGGCTAGCTTCTCAGCTAAAAAAATTACGCTTAAATATTTTATACCAAGTGTCCAATCAGGCAAGTGAGGTGCTAGATTCAATAGCACAAATGTGGCACTTTACTTGCCCTGTGCAATCAGGCAATCCCTTTTGAAAAGCCCTGTCAGTGGTGATATTTCAAGTGCCAGTGCCAGTGCCTCTCAGGATAAATGTAAGCTTAAAGTGGCACGCACTGATATTTTACATATGTAATTTGCAGAGGCTTTGCAAAGCAAATCAGGCTAGTTTACGATGTGTTGATAGGGAGTTTTGATTTTTCATATATATAGTACCAACCCTGAGGTTTACGGAGGTGCTGATAGGTTCATTTAGTAGTTTCAGTTATTTTATGGACTATTTTGAAGCCAAACTCTTCAAAAAGTCATTTTGGAAACATTACATTACCGTGACGCATTTATCTTAATATGTCTGTGATGTAAGACAAAAGTGGGACATTGATGCTAAGCGTTTTGTACTCATATCCATTATGCTGCATGTCAGTGAGCAATGTTGCTTGCGATTAAGAACGACAACCTTGATACTATCAGTCTTATTCAAAAACTATAGTGGATTACAGTGTATGATCCCATACTACTAAATATCTGTCATAAACTGGCACCAGAATGTATCGCGGTTGATGTGAAAATGTGTCTCACCTTGGCTGCGGTGGACGTTGAAGCTTGCCAGGTGAATGACATCATCATCACTGCCTCCATCTGCCATTGTGAAACTACACTTACCAGCTCCCTGAATCAGCCCACACACAGAGTCACTGCTCAATCAATACCATCTACTCCACACACACACACACACACACACACACACACACACACACACACACACACGCAGAGTTAGGTGTTGGTATTCCCCTGGAATTATCACAAATGTTTTCACTTTCAAATGTGTGACTTATCATAACATTCACCAATCACGGGAAGGGTTGGACTCCACCCTTTTACCGTAAATATCCCGATGACACAGGGCTAATAAATAACTTATATGGGACTATCCAATAGCCAGCATGTTTACAAAAGAGGACTTAACAAAGAGGAAGCTTGAGATAAAACATGAGAAGCACAGTTGAGGGTTAGGATTTGTGTCATCAAGTAAAAATTCAGTTCAATTCCCACTTTATTTCTCCCCGGGGGGGGGGGGGGGGTAAAAAAAAAATATTAGCGAGCTAACTAAGAGTTGATTCATTGTGACGGCCAGCCTGATCCCACCAGATTATGTTGAAGCATTTACTCCGTCATCTTTGCTTGCTAACCCAGCCCCAGTCGCCCTAGATCTGATCAAAGTTGGCATGAAATCAATGTAAATCTTACATGTTCAACAGCAGAGGCTAACACTGCGAGCAGCTGGCAATGTTTGAAATACTAGCTATGTGAACTTGCGTTTTGTCCGTCAGCTTGACATTACTCTAAACACCGTGACGTTAGCTTAAAGTTTCAGATGCTGTGGATAAAAACAAACATGTCAGGACAGAAATCGATCATTTCCGCGCAGACACACGGAACAAACCACTGCTCTCGGCTAAGCTAATGCTCATTAGCTTGGGCTTGCTAGCTAGCTAGGGGGTTAAGTAGTTAGCTCACTTCTGTCGGGATTTCTATTCATAACATGGCTTCAAACGCGCAACGTACAATTTAATATATACGTATGAATAATACACAGGCAGAAATGTACAATACCGCAGCTTCGTGGTGGATAACCAATACAAAACGCCTTCTTGGTGGATTGACAATCCGTGAATACCGAAACAAACTGCCAAAACAAGAACAGATTTACGTCACGCGTACGGTGAGAGAGCTACGTAAAGACAGTGGACTTCTGGGAAATGTATTCCTTATGGAAAAAAAACATCCCTAGGCCTTTGAACAGAGGAAAGATTCAATTTACATGTACAAAGCTTAATTAACTGGTCAGGTCAAACATAAAAGAAAGAAAAGAGATGTTACACTATAAAATATATTATGGTGTAACAGATTTATTGTAGTTTTACAGGCTAGCTTTCATTTTATTAGGGTCCTAGCACTGAACGATGCGATTACCCTTTGGAAATTGTTCCATTTATTGATGATTATTACATTTTTAAGGTCTAAATGTGCTTGAAACTGGTAAAGAAATAAAGATATTTAATGTGATTCATGCTTGGGTGTGGGAAAAAAAGGCTTGAAAGCGCCCTCTACAAATTTCTATTAAGCAGCACCCGCGGCACATTTCACATGGAGGCATGAAAACTGAAAGGCACATGTATTAACTCAAGACTTAACAGAAAGTTTCTTGGAGCCATACCCTAACCCCAAATGTTAAGTCAGCCATTTCAATTTCGTTTTGGTGAAATTTGGGGAACGGCGAGGCTGTGGCCAAGCATGGAATTTCCATGTTTCACCACGAAACAGGAAGTAGCTTGTAACTTTACTGTACATGGTCCAATCTGCATTAAAATTCTCATTTTATAAAAGTCTCTGCCTGAAGACATCTACAGACCAGTTTTGAGTCATAGTCATAGTACCATATACTGGCAACAGGAAATTAGGTATTATACTTAAATGCACTGTTCCTAGCAAATTGACCGGGTAAACTTTAAATCTGGGCAGAAAAGCGTTAAGATCTTGATGATGCTATATTATGAAGAGTGTGAGTTTCGTTGAACAGCATAATTCGATGTTTTGACATGACACCATTAGCTGTTGACATGACACCATTCATTGTTGTAACCTGATAGTTTTACCAGCTCACCCTTTTCCCCGTTAAGGGCGGTGGCCTTATGGGTAACCTGTGAGGGTGTGATGTGTACTTCATTGTGTGTGTTTTGGCAGCTCTCTCGGTGTGTCATGGTGAAGACTCGTGCAGCAAGTAGTGATGATAGCAGCAGAATTAAGTGTCTAAATAAGCTCAGGACTGTCCTTTAACCTCATGAGAAGGCCATGTTTATTGTTGTGTGGTGAAGACTGCAAGACTGTTGGTGAACGGCACCCAAACACCTCGCCATCCTTCCTTCTGCAGAGTGGTCCGGACCACTAGAAGCTAGTTACCAGCTAATAACAAGCCAAGCTAAAATGAATGTTAAGAAGCCAGCATGTTTGCAACTATGGTTCGGAGCCAGTAAGCTGTCACTTAGAGAGGTAACAATAGCAAGGCCAATCTGCCGCAGTTTTCATATGCTGGACTGGAGTAGAGTCCAGGCTTAAAGACATCTACATTAATAGCGCCCCCTACTGACAACAGGAAGTCACCCTATGTGACAAAGTTCATCCAATTTACATGAAATGTACATGGTGTGGTCTACACATGATATTCAGCAACATGACTTATAACTGCTGTGTTCTCTGGTGCTACATAAAGGGCACAGGGAATGGTACACAATAAGTAACATCATTTCCAGCGCAACACACTTTATGCAGGAACCGTGTAAGTCGTGCGCTCAGTGTTCAACTGTTGTGGAGCCAGCGTCCTGCCAGCGCCCCTGCTAGTGGGAGGGTGCAAGAACCTGTTCATCACTGCTTTCAGCTTTATTCATTCATTTCCGTAACTGCTTATCCTGTTGGGGGCTGCTGGAGCCTATCCCAGCTGACAGTGGGTGAGAGGCGGGGTACACTCTGGACAGGTCACCAGACTATCGCTGTGAGGCAACAGTGCTAACCACTACACCACTGTGCTGCCCGCTTTCAGCTTTAATTTTGCTTTAAATTTCATTTTTAAATCAGTTTAGTTTCAGTTAGTTTCCAGAGAGGGTTTTCTTGTTTCAGTTTAGATTTTATGGTCTAAAATAAATATATATATAATTTCCTGTTATTATAATGTGAGGACAATTGACTCAGTCATGTAGACATCCCAGTCTCAATTAATACACACCAATAACTCCTCCTTTATTGTGTTGACAGTTTTGCCCAAACTGACAAAGACTGACATTTTCTGTATATTTTTATTGTATTTTAGCTTTTAAAGTAAACAATGTTGTTTGTTTTTCATTTCTTTCTAATGTCTAGTTTATTTTGTGAGGCTAACTAAGGTGCTTCTTCAAACCAAGTTTTAGTTTTTAAGTTTAGTTTTGGATAACCATAATTAAAATCAAATTAAAAATTAAAGGCTGTCAATTATGAATTTCCAAACAGGATGAATCTACATTATATTTCTAATTAAATCCATCAAAAAGACTAAGCTTTGCTACAAATTTTGGCTCTTCTGACTGCTGGCAAGGACAATGAAATACAACTCTGACTTGCCTCCTCTATACTATGAATAATACATTACAATACATCAGAGTTTATTAGAAAGTTATATACAGAGATTATTTTATTTGTTGATTGTTTTAAATAGTCATTTACATTCACAGAGAGAATAATGCACATGACACAAGGAATTTATTTTCAATTTAATTTCTTTTAATATAATCTTATTTACATTGTATTTTTTCATAAATGTTTAGTACATAGTAAGTTACAATACTCTTGCATCCATTACACAGTGAACCTAGAAAATGCAGATTGAAATGATACTGCTTAACAGTCTTCAGTAATCAATCTACAACAAATCCCAATTTTTGTTTTTCCACATTACTCGCTCAACATTTAGGTTTTTTGATTTCATTCACTTCGTTGGAGGATTAATGACTGCAGAGAGACTTTTGTTCATTCATGGTGGTCTTTGAGGTTGAGGACTACTTTTTCTAACATTCAGGCTATGGAGAAGAAGAGACGGGCAGAGAAACATCAGGGCCACAAAGAAAAGAAAAAAAAATAAAGATGGTGAAATGGATGATGAAACATGTATGAAAGGCTTGTGAGATTTTATTATACATGTCACATACAACCAAAGATTTCCTGAAGCTGACTCCTTCTTTCCATCCTCGTGGCTCATTTTGTTAAACATCCAGGTCATGCCCTCGGACCTCTCCACAGCCGTCAGTAGAGTAAAGATTAAAATTAGGGCTGGGAGGTTCAATCCCTTTCACGTAAAAATAAATGTAACATGGTATTTAAAGGAACAGTGTGTAGGATTTCGGGGGATTTAGTGGCATCCAGTGGTGAGGATTGCAGATTGCAACCAGCTGCAACTTCTCCTGGTTAGAATTCCTTCAGTGTTTATTGTTAAGGAAGTTTTTAACGGGAGCCGAGTTATCCGCAGAGGTCTCTTCCTCTCCAAATCAAACTAAGCAATTGTTTTAAACCAACAAAAACAGTACATAAAGCAGTTTCATGTTACAAATCAGTGTTTTACCGACACTCTTCAGCCTGTCTGCGATGAGCACTTGCTAATATCTGCTCAAATGTTTCTGATAACTTAAGATCTAGACGTTGAGCAAGTTTTTACCAGGAGCCGAATTATCCACAGAGGTCTCCTCCTCTCAAAAACAAACGGACCAGGTGATAAAACCCAGTAAAAACACAGAATAAAGCAATTTCACGTTACAAATCAGGGTTTCTCCGACACTGTTTGGCATGTTGGAGATGGACAGTGAGCCCTGAACATGCCAATGTGTTCACCTTTTTTTTCTGATAACTTAAAATCCAGACGTTCAGGAGATTTTTACCGGGAGCCGAATTATCCGCAGAGGTCTCTTCCTCTACAAGCAATTGTTTTAAACCGGCAAAAACAGTACAGTTTGAGCTTACAAATCATTGTTTTTCCGACGCTATATGGCATGTTGGAGACAAGCAGCCAGCCCTGAACCTGCTAATATGTGCTAACCTTTTTTCTGATAACTTAAAATCCAGACGTTCAGGAGATTTTTACCGGGAGCCGAATTATCTGCAGAGGTCTCTTCCTCTCCAAAACAAACAAAGCAATTATTTTTAAACCAGCAAAAACAGTACATAAGATAATTTCACGTTAAAAATCAAGGTCTCTCCAACGCTCTTCATCCTGTCTGCGATGAGCACTTGCTAATTTGTGCTCACCTTTTTTCTCTAATAACTTAATATGCACAAATTCAGGAGGTTTTTACCAGGAGCCGATTTATCCACAGAGGCCTCTTCCTCTCCAAGACAAACAGACCCTGTGATTAAAACCAGTACAAACACATATAAAGCTGTATCACGTTAAAATCAGTGTTTTTCGGATGCTATTTGGCTCATCGCGGAGGTGCTGCTAACAAAGGTGGTAGACAGGAAAATGCAAATGTCTGTTCTGGGCTACTGTAGAAACATGGAAATCTAGATGCACAGGGACCTGCTCCCTATGTAGATGTAAACAGCTCAATCTAAGGTAACGAGCACAGGATTCTTTTTTTCCCCGGTGGTTAAATTATATCCCATTTCTGCCAATATATCCTCCTAAATCCGACACACTGCACCTTTAAAACAACGAAACACTAACAGTTTTTATACAAGGACAGAGAGTTTTTCTCCACAATAATGTGAATGTTAAAAAACATAACGAAATTCAATGAAACCCACTTTGTGGATTGCTTGAATTACAAGTGAATTGACCCTTCAACTCTGATAGAGGGGGTGATGAAGAGATTAGTGTGAGCTCTTTGTAGAGCAGATAGCAGCTTGGTCAGTAATCACTTAGTAATAAATAATAAAATATCAGAGTGGATCAGACAGAGTGGTCGCAGATACAAACGGAAGAGACAAAAAAGTTACCAAACAGAGGAGCAGGCTCATTTGATCGTTTTTTACAGCGTAACCGGGTGCCATGCCTGACACACACACAAACACACACACGCACACTCACACAGACACAAATACAGTCTCACTCTCTCACTAACACAACCACACGTACATGCACACGCTCTGATACACGACAGTGGTTAAACATGAAGCATGAATACTAGTCAATCAGCTTGTCAGACAGAAAGACAATCAGTCTCCGCCTTGTTCTTCACACGTCTGATTTCAAAGTTCGCAGGCTCGCATGTGATTGGCCGATTCTGTCCACTGACTCGAGTGTGTTGTCGGGAGTCTCTGCGGCGGTAGACATTCTGAAGAATGACATCATAGCTTGTTAAAACTGAAGGATAAAAATGCTTCTTCAAAACATCTGAAAAATTTTAAAATACTTTTTTAATTTTTTTGTCTGTTTTGTTTTTTTTTGCTTTTGTTTTTTATCTTTTCCTCTCCCGCTGTGCTTCCTCCTTTAACCCCCAACAGTTCGGTGGCGAAGAGGTGGCGAGAGACCTTGTGTTCTTGTGATGCTTGGCCGCTCCGTATACTCTGCGTATACTTGATGTTCTGTTGATGTCTGTGTATATAGATGTCAAATGTCAAATAGTTTGTGTGCAAGTGCAAGCGCAAGTGTGACTGTGTGTATGTTGGTTTTTTTGGTTGTGGATTCATCACTCCACAGCGAAGCCGCAGGTCTCCTCCACAGCCGTCAGCAGTTTCTCATAGAGTTTCTCGTAAGACTCGTAGGGAGGGATGTCTATCCGGTTAAAACTGGAGACAGACAGAAATAGTTAGTGACGTCACACCCGACTCCTCTGCAGATATAAAAAGAGAAAAATCGTCTTCTTACCATGTGTGAGCCTTGGGAAGGTTGTCTGTGTTGGCGTCTATCAAATGGATGGTAAAGAGCCTTGGTCCTGCAGAACCTGTAGAACCTTACACACATACATTCTAGTTATCACTGCTCTACTCTGGTACACAGAAACACTCAGCAGTCTTTAAACAGTGAAAGCTCACATCAAATCAAAGTTTACCAAAAGATTGACTGATTTTCACTTATAAGCAAAACAATTAACTGGTTTTCAAAAAAAAAATACATTTTAACTGCCCTAAATGAAGTCTGTAAGTATCTGTGCACATTTCCGTCCTATATATTCTTGTTTGATAAGTAAAATGTCCTCAAGCCGAACAAATGTTCAAACGAATGCTTCAAATGAAAACCATAACTGATGTGAGTACAGTATGTGTGCGTGGTTTCTGTGCCAGTGCATGACCCACCCTGCAGCGCCTTGAAGCCTTGTAATGGGACCCTGGTGGAGCCCGTGACAAACTGCAGGAGGCGTCCTCTCCTCTCTTCACTGAAGGCCTCCACCGCCTGCCAGAACCACCGCACCACGTTGCTTTCACTTGTGCAGTGCTTCAGGCGGGTGTTCGTCTTCCAGTCCGCGAGATCGATCTTACCCAGTCCACCGATGATCAACTGGAGGAGAGGGACAGGTTTGAGGAGGAGGTGAGGCAGGGCGAGGGTGAGGAGGGAGAGAATTAGATTAAGAAGAAGCAAAGGCGACACGGCAAATCAATTAAGACTTAAACAAAACCACATAACATGGCAGGCGATGAGCTGGACAGCACATGTACCTCAAGTTCTTTATGGTCGAATGGTTTGAGGAGGTGCTGGGGGATGAGCTCACTGAATCCCTTCTGTAGAGCCAGAAACTGGGCTTCAATTCCACGCATAAACCTCCAGTTCACATAAAGTCTGAAAAACACAAACATACATCATGTAGGACAAATAAGTAGACTGTATAAACCAGTACCTCTTTCTGCTGATAAGACAGTATCATGTTTACGCTGTGTATCAAGGGCACAGTTTGGATAACACCCACATTAAACATGGGACATAACCGTCTCACTGTCCTTACCTTACATATTCCTTCTTGTTCTCCTCAGTGACGGGAATATTGCGGCCATTAGGTTTGAGTTCATGTTGTAAGAACTTCCCAAAGGCGTTGTGCTCCACGCAGAACGTGTGGTCGAGGACTGAGGTGATGTCGTTCTCTCTGCAAAAAGAGATTTAAATTAGGTTAGAAATAGAAAATCTGACCACATCCAAAAGGGGAAAGTGCAGGACAAAAACTAAGAACTAGTTCATGATAAAAACTCTTCTGACAGATTGACTTGACTTGTGTGAAGATGCATTTGCTCACAATATCCAGACGAGACTCTTGTGCAACTCCGGGTCGGTGGTCTCCAGGTCGTTGAGCTGGATTGGTTTGCCTAGCAGCTGTTTGTAGAAAGGAAGCGTGAAGCTCCCGTTGATGTAGTGACCGTGAAAAACTGCCAGGCCCATCACACGACCCACGAAGTGGAAATATGACAGGTGGTCCTGAAAGAACGTAACACAGACGAACAGAGAGACAGAGACACAGGGTCAGAGAGAATCCTCTTATTCAGATCTTCCGTGATGAGGTTTAGGTGTGCGCATGTGTGTGTGTGTGTGTGTGTGTGTGTGTGTGTACTCACAGGGTTAATGGAGGAGTCGGGGTTGATCTGTAGTGTGTAGATATTGTCTGTGGAGTACTGGAACAGGCCGTAATAGGGGTTCAACATTTCATGACACAGCAGGTACAGCCACTCCCTGAAGACAAGCACAACATTGTTAACAAATGTTCAAAACTCAGAGAAATTTGGTAACATTTACGTACCATTAAATAATGGGAAAACTGAAAGAAAACAATATGATCTTGTGTGTCCACTGAAGTCATCTTGTTTCAAACTAGCAGCTCCAATGAACAGATGTAAAACTTAATCATGTTTAGTTGTTTCACGTCCAATCTCTTCTCTCTTCTTTGGAGGCTCTGCAGCAGTTAACCAGCCACAGTGTGCACCAGGTTAAGGTCACTGATGCCTCATTCACTACACAACTTTAACATTGATTTTCTGCTCACCAACAGTTATTGGAGCTCCTCGAAAAAAGCCCCACATCAGAGGCAAATCGGCGATAGTTTGGTGTTTGTTAATCGGTGATTGAGCGTCATGTGTGAACTGTTCAAAGATGTAAGCTTAAGCCCTGTTTCCACCGAGCAGTTCAGTTCAGTTCAGTTCAGTACGCTTTTTTTCCGTTTCCACTGTGAAAAGTTGTGGATGTTTCTGTCCCGTCCCCATGTTTGGTCCCCCCTCTGTTGGGGTACCTAGCACACAGATCTGGTACTAAAAGGTGGAGCTGTGAACACTGCAGTCTGATTGGTCAGTAGAGGACGGTCACTCTGCTCAGGGCTGAGTTGTGTCTGGTTTTGAGGCTCATGTAACCACTGTTCATACTGTGGAGAGTTTTATTAGTAAACTGTAACTATAAAATGAAAGGATGTTTTGCTGCCTCTCACAGCAGCTGGAGTCTGAGAAAATAACTTCATTCACTGGGCCGACTGCCGGCAACTTTTAAGGTGGAACGTGCAGTAGAACGCAAGGGTCTACGACCATGTCTGAAGGGTTACCTTGGATCCAAAGGTACCATACTGAAAGTGTTTGGTGGAAACGGGGCTTTAGAGACTCACCAATGCAACAGACGCTCCCCAGATATATGGCAGGAAATATGTGGACCTGTCGGGGACTCTGGGTGAGCTACAGCCAATGAGTGTGCAAGACATGGGTTGAGGACAGACACAAGTGGTGCTGTGGCGCCAGTGTGTGTTTGAAAGGGAGAGAGAGTTACAGAGAAAGGGGAAGGAAGACTATTGCACACAATGTTTTCACAAAGTTTTTAGCCTACTGACTTAGAACGCTGATCTATCACTTTATAACTTTGATGATTTCTAGTGAACAACCTCCCCCCAGTTGTGGTGCAACTCACATCACATGACAAACTCATTGAGGACTCATTTGTCCCAGTGAAGCTGTGTTGTGTTAACAGTACAGCGATCTGACAACTTAGAACTTCAACTTGGAAGTTAAAGTAAAATGTTCAAAGTCCACAACACTCCCCAAAGTCCCGAAATAAATGAAGTTGGAATTTGATATATAGTGAAACATGGGAGTATATATATGTTTTCAACTGTATCAAAAATCCTATTTGTTTAGCTGTAAAACTACAGATTTATGACTTTATAATTATACCAACTGAACTTAGCAGGGAGATGAAAGATGAACTCTTTGGATGAGACTTCTGAAAAAAGCTAATTGCAATGCTTGGACAGGTTTGCTGACAAAAATGGATAGCCTACAACAAACGCAACGCCCGCGTACTGTATTACTGTTCTTACGATTAATGCCTTTGTGTGTCATTCTTGCCATGCCAGATTTTCAGTCTTGTTCCCCTCACTTGCACACTCCCCCATCCCCATGTATTGTATTATTCTGACTTCTTCTTTTATGTAGGCACCCACGTCCTGTCTGTGTTGGTGTTTTTCTTTTTACAAAAATAAAATTGTCTGATTAAGTCTATCAATCAATCAGTGAAGTGCTCAGAGATGTGAACAGCAAATTACCTGGCCACCCCACCGTAGTCCAGGCCCTCCTCTCCCCTGAACTTCACCATCAGACGCTTCTTTAGATCTTTGGGCCTCATCTTCATTATCTGCCGATATGACTCCTACACACACACACACACACACACACACACACAAAAATATCAAGATTAATGCCTAATAACAGAGACACACACATTATCAGAGACAAGAGAAACAATCAGGCCTTGCTCAGACTGCCAGCCCATATTTGATTTTTGGGATATCCAGACTGTATCCACTGATTTTCGCAAGTGTAAACAGCAGCAAAAAACATATGAAATGCGATTTTTAAGATTCCAATTAATTCTTACAGATTGGTGTCAGTCCAGACGCTCAAGTTAGATCCCAAACTGTCTTTTGTGTCACTTGCAACGCGACACACGACGACGTAAAATCAAAAATGACTTAAGTGCTGAGCAGAATCCACGATGCTACTAGCAGAGCGCTATGCAGGACAACAACAGACAGCGAAATAAATTGACTGCTGGCACTTTGTAGGCACCTCCAAACAATCACACTTGACAACTTGATTGTTTGGAGGGTAGTCTGAGTGGGCGGAAGTTCGCTGCATAGATCAGCCTCTCACTGGGCGGAACGAGCCACCCGCTGAAGTCCCGCCCTACCACCTTTGGTTGTGTAGCAGTTTTCAACCGTTTTCAACACATCCTTTACTAACTTTTGCGGTGTTTCATCTTGCGGGGATGTAGCCATTTTTCTGCCATGGTTCGCGTCCAGTAGCCGATATTTTTGTGGGCGTGTTACACCAAAACCTGTTTCCCCCCGGCAATATTTTTGCAAGCGCACCGTTGCTGTAGCACCGCCAAGAACGATTGTGATTGGTTGAAAGAAATACAAGCAGCCAGGGCGTTTTTTTCTCCAATCTTAAAGTGAGAGTCAGCCCAGCCAGACTTTTTGGCGAGACTATTTGGAGGGCAACAAGATGGACCTCCATTTCTCACGCTCCTGCGATAGAAAGCTGCGTCCTTAGCTTAGCTACGTAGTTAATGACACCTACGTTGTAACCACAGCAACCCATGTGGATAGATTGGTGATGTCTGTGCACACTAATCCGATCCGATCAAACTGTCTTAAGGATTGGATTTGAGATTGCTTCCAGTCTGAATGTTGATTTGGTGACCCAAATCACAGCCCTTTAGATCAGTGTTCCTCTGTTGAACAGTTTATTTATAAGCACAATCAGTGCTGCTTTTGTGCTCCTCTCAGGAGAAATAAACGGTTGTTGTGACTGGTGTATGAGTCAGGAGGAGTGTGGATGTGTCTGAATGAATGTAAACTTTCAGAGGAGCTTCCCACTCCATCCACACTGCTTCCGTAGCTCCACATTTGCAGAAATGCCCGATTTATCTGCATGTTTGAGGGAGACGGCATCATTGTCTGGCTATGTGCCCTTCACAGGAGACAAATGTTGACTGCGGCACCCACCTCAAAGATCTCCTCTCGGGACACCTCGATGCGACAGTGTCCTGCTTGAGGCTGCTGCAAGGACAGCTCGTGTCGGAGCAGCTTCAACTTATGGACCAAGTCTCGCTCATAGCGTGCCGCCACGTCTCCATCGACTCCTCCTCCTCCTCCTCCGCCCACTCCTCCATTACCCCCTTCCTCACCCCCCACATCCATCTGGGGGGCTTGTGAGGATTCCTTCGCTTGGGATTGCGTGCTGTAGGTGGGAAGAGACAACATGACAGACGGTCAGATGAAGAGTTGACAGGAAGACAGCAATAAAAGAGCAGACTGGATTAAACTGCAGCTAAATCTACGATAAACCCACATTTCTGTAAATCACACGACTGAGTGTTATTAACAGAGCTGATGACTGTTAGTAGGTCATGTTCAGAACCAGTCTGAGTTCAGCATTACGGCCGTGACAGATTAGATTAACCACAGATTAGTCTTAAAAACCACTTATTCTGCATGTGTCATGGGTGTCTGCCACACAGGTGTGGATTGATTTTGCCATGAGGGATACACAGGAGTACTTCATGCATGTACCTGATAATGGTGTGTAGGCGCGGGTCTGTGAACTGTGTCGTTCTGTTGTTGTGGTCCACAAAGTAGATTCGGCCCGACACGGTGCTTCGGACCTCCCAGCCCACTGGCAACGGCCCAAGCTCCTCACAGCTCACACTGGCCAGGTCCCTGCACCAGTAACAAGGAACCAGAGTGAGACTTCAGCCAGCAGCAAAACACACAGCACCAATTCACCTTGGTCAGACAACAGCCTTCAACCCAGACCTCTGTCTGTAACAGGTCTGACCCTACATACTGTATGTGCTTAACCCCTCATACTGACTTTGAGCCAGGCGCCAGGACTGAGGGAAATGACCTGAAATTTACTCGTAATCTGTCGGTGTAATTAGTGCAAAACAAAATAAGGAGAACATGGAGCTTTATAGTCAACAGGCGACAACAGCAGCACTTATCTGGGAACAGCATGTAGTTTAGCTGACAAAAAAGTGGAGGCCTATTTTCTTAAATTTCTTAATACATCTCTGAATTTAAACGTGAAATATCCCAATCATGACATGTATTAAGGCCCTGACACACCAAGCTGACTCTTGTCCGTTTGTGAGCGCATGTCGCCCTTCTCTTAGCGGTGTGTTCCACAACGTTGGCCCTTGTTGGCTTTTTTCCCGGCGTCAGAGACAGCGGAGCCCGTCCGTGCATGAAATCGCTCTGATAGACAGTTTAGCTCAGTTCACAAGAGGAGAAACGGAAGTTTAAGAAGCAAACAAACGTCTGAAGTCAAATGGGCATGAGATCGTGACAAACTTTTTAGATTATTTTTTAGCCATTGAGCTCTTTAGCAATAATGTTTCATAGTGTTTTGTGTTATTGTTTGCTGACACACAGTATGCTAACTGGTTAGCTAGCATCATGACAGTCTTCTGGTTTTCCTTTTGATTGACAATTACAGACTACCTCTGCCTGCTGTTATAGAGTTATTTCCTGTCACGGAGTCACAGATAATTCGATACAGGTCTGTTGTCACAGCGAGACATTTTAGGGGACATATACATAACTTACATAGCTCACATAAGTTACATAGCATTACAAGTATGCCATTTATCTGCTGTGTCATCTACAGTATAACCCATGTGTGGTGATTTCTGCTGTTCTCTCTTCCTGTTAGTCTCCTCTGTGTCCTCTTACTCTGCTGCTGCTGCTGCTGCTGCAGTGACCCAGACTGTCAGTGGGGTTTATTCAAGGTTCATCTCATTTCAGGTTGTGCTTGGACTAGACATGTGTGAAGTGTAATCGTACCGCGGTATCCGAGGGTCGTGCCAAGTGCTGACTCCCGTCTGTGTGTGAAGGAAGTACACCTGGCCCTGCACTGTTGTTCGTTGCTCTGTTTTAAGAAGAAGAAGAAGAAGAAGAAGAAGAAGAGAGGTGTTACATGACTATACGACTACAACTAGAGAGATTTGGAGATGAGTTAAATATCAAGAGGAATGTCTGACTGACCATAGCCCTCTGGCAGGTCAGGCGGTTGGTGCCCGTGAGGTCTGTTCTGAGGGGTGTGGCCGTGGCCTCTCGAGTCCTGCCCTCTGATTCGCTGTGTCTGTAGGCGGCCCTCCTGACTGGGCGAGTCGAGTCGACAGTTCCCGCCCCCCGCCGCACCAGTTGGGTCGGAGTAGGGAAGCGGCTCTTCACTGAAGCATCCCTCAAACACAGGTCTACACACACACAAACACATACCAGTGAAGTCACATCTACTGTTTCTCTGAAGCACATGATTAGTCAAGTGATCTCAGAGGAACGCAGATTGGGAGAGAATTAAAGGAATGATTACTGTGACTAAAGTTGTCTTGCAAAAAACACAAGCAACAAAAGTAGGTCTCAGTTCAACTTTGGATCCCAACATGACACAGAAGAGCCTTGAAACTGGCATACGACTGAATTTAATCAGTTCACAGAATGTTGACATTTGTCCTTAAATGACACAGACGGATAAAACCCAAACCTAAATAAATAATTCGAGTGCTTGCATAAAGAACATGAGGGGTCCCTGATGGTTTTAGAAAACGATGTGATTATGTGCTAAGGTCGTCGCAGTCACCTGATCTCAACCCATTTGAACACCATTTGTAACACTGGATGGTACTTGGATTTTAAATAAACTGGGTTCATTACTTAGTTATTAGTTGGAAGAAATGTTAGAAAGGGGTAGAGACATATAAATTTAACTTCTACCTACTCCTTTTCAGACACTGTTATCTTTGTCTTGTTTGTTTCTTATTATGTTTTTTTTCCCCGTTCAAAATAGCATTCAATCCCTCGTGAAAAACGTTAACAAAAGTATTTACAATTTTACTGCATTTAATTGTTTTATATAATATTATTATAATATTCTGGTTTTGCCCTTATTCCAAAAACCTCAAAAGCACTACTGAGATGTTTACATGGCTAATGAAAATTAATATTCCACTGATATTCCCATTTACATGCAGGGGTGCATATTCTGATTAACGTGCCCTAACATGCTCCTTTGCATCAAAACTGGAGATTTGCAGAGTTTTCTAACTGGTGGAGGACATGTTGGACTGTGCAAACACAGCCTCCCTCTCTCATTCCTACATCACCTTAAAAAGGTTGGCGTTGCGATATTTTCTATATCCAAAAACCTGTTAATCTCCAAGTCTTTCATCATGTGTAAAAGTGCGTGTGTTTCTTCGTCCAACCAGAAATGACGGCTTTTTCTTTTGGGCATGCGTCTCTACACCAGTCTTGCAAACTGTTGGGCGATTGGTTTGTGTACAGCGTCTCCATGACAACACACAGAACTGACAATAAAGAGACAAGAGGCTGTGTGTTGCAGGCTGCAGTAATTACCCCAGTCGAGACGTGTATATATACCGAGAACGGGCTATATACATACCCAAATAATGCTATTAAAACCCAAATAATGTTGGCATACCCCACTTGTCTTCTGTCTTCTTCTTCATTCTGAATAATAGGGGAATATTACTGTGCATGTAAGCGTACCCGCTGTGACGTCATTAAGACCAGCACTGACCATGACAAACCAAATGAACGTGGCTTTCCATAATGTCTCTCTAAATCTTACAACTGAAAAAGTGATATAAAATAATCTATGAAATATATTTATACATTTAACAACATACCACATGTAATTGTTTCTTCAAGTTTTATTATTAATTCGAGTTTTGTTTCAGAAGGGGAACCTTTTTTGTGGCCGACTGTCTTTGCCAGACCTGGGATAGAAGGCAGAGTTTCCAGACTGAGCAACTAAATTACATGTACTTTTAATTATTACTGTTATATGGCTAAAGAGAGATAACTGGCTTTATAATCAAATGTAGATTAAAAATAGCGTGTCGGGTACTCTTGCAAAACAGGGAAAAAAACGTTTCAATAGGAAAGCAATCCAGGCACTCTAAAATATAAGAAGAAATATACCAACGAGGAAAAACCCATTCAGCATAGAGGCATGTTATTGTACGCTGCAGTGTAAAAACGTGTTGACACACTCACCCATCATTTTCCAACAGTCCTCTGCAGTCCACCACGGGGCCTCCGCTGCCAATGCGGTCTCGTGTCTGTAAGCTCACTGGAAACAAGCAGGCGGTAAAGGTCAGAGAGATGACAGTGGGACAGAGCAGGAGGGCAGAATATGCACATAAGCAAACAACAGTGACACGGGGACAGAGGCGATGGGGGTCATTTGTAATGATAATGTATCTGTGTGTGTTGAGCCTTACCTACTATCTGCCCCCGCACTGCGTCGCTGTCCGACGGGTTCAGCTTACATAGATCCAGTCGCTGGTCTGGAAGAAGAGGAGAAAGGAAATGTAAAACAAATCTGGTTTAATCAACATCTGTTATTTGCATGTACGTGTATTAAAAATCAGAGGGCAAGAAAAAGACAGACAGACTTACATCCTGTGTCTTTTAGCCTGCTGATGGCATTGGAAAGCAGTCGTATGCAGCCCAGGAAGCCCGCCCCCTGTCGTTTATGGATCTTCTTGTGGTTCCATATACTGATGGTGATGGAGTCTGTCTTTCCAATGTAGCTGAATAACAGATGTAAGATTGTCACGTGTCTCACCAATGTTTTTCAGCACAGTCTGGTATCAGTGTGAGCAATCTGAGCGTCTTAAGAAAAGTTTTGTCACTCCGGCATTAGATGGAGATATGAAACTTACAGGAAGTAGCATATTAGCTCACATATAATAAAATCAAATCATTTTTTTGGAACATGACTGAAGATAAAGGACCAAACTGAATCAATATACTGTTCCATTTTATTAAAAGCAAACCAATGAGAAAACATATAATAGTGTGTGGTGCAGGTGACTCACAGGTCGTAGTGCTGATTCCATTTGGGGTCCAGTGTGCTCTTGACTGTGTCTGTCGAGTGGCATTGACCTGATCCGTCCACCACAACCTTGGCAAATGGATCTGGCAGGCCTGCAGCACACAGCTCAAATTAAATGTTTGCATCCTCCATATTGAATCACAAAGACGATCATATCTGAGTATTAGTAATATCTCAACTGGCTTAAGCACTGCAAGATAACATATCTCCACAACAGTGCTCAGCTTTCTACTGCTGCAGGCATTTAGCAGATTTTCCTTCTCATCTGTGCGTTTGCTGAGACTGAACTGCAATTTGAAAAGCTCAAAGCCAATAACAGCTATAATATCTGGGTGCTGGTGGTGCATAATGTAAACACAGCATGGTAAAACTGGTGGAAATGAGTGTGAGGACAAGGTGGAGATGTAAATCATCATGAAAGAAAAAAAGGAATTGAGGGACACTGATGCCAATTTGTTTAGTGTTTTTTTCTGGCCAATATTATTATTGAACTTTCTGATATATGAAGGAGCACAAAACAGGCCAACAGACAGTACAGTATCAAAGGGGAAAACTATGTTACACACTAAAGAAACAGAGGGGAGATCATATTGCTAGCCAAAGCACTTTTTACACAGAGATCGCACCATAGGGCTCCAAAGTCCCTTCTTTATGCTTCCTTAGCATTTTTAAACAGAGCCAAACAAAGGCAGCCTCTCCAGTGTGGGATTTTGGACAGCGTTGTGGAACGAAAAAGTGGTGTGAGGGGTGTGACATGTAACTAACAACATTGGCCTCTATTTGGCCACTATTTGGATGGCGTACAATAAAATTTGCACATATGTTAAGATTATACACGCAAAACATCAGCTTGTTAGCATAGTGATGTTAACACAGCTAATTTAAGCATTACGTGGTGACGAAGATGCCTGTGACGTACCGCCACACAACAGGATTCCCTGTGGTTTGCATTTTGTAACAGCTGAAGTAATGTTACTCCTACAGCTGTGATGAAAAAAAAAACAAAAACTACACAGGTTCATCATGTTTGCAGGTGCCAGGAGAGCTGAGGTTGGCCCTGGTTACTATGGTTACGCGTTACCAACCAGCAACAAAGCTCTTAGGAATGGTGTTGGCAATTACAGCTCAGTGTGTCTGAAAAGATATAATGTACACACAAGTATGTTGAATGTTATTACGTCTATTGGGAGTGTAGTATGCATGGTATGTGATTTCAGACGCAGCGTTTGACAAAAGCTCATACACAGAACAGTATAAACAAAAACAAAGTTAAACCAACCAGTCTACAGCACTGCTTTTGATGGCACACACAGACCCTTATTGAAACACATTATCTCATCATGATTCATGCACATGAAAACGAGCATATTAAAAGATACTTACGAAAGAAGTCTTTCTTTGCGAGGTTCTTGGCACATAATACTGCAAAAGATAAAAACATTATGAACAAAATGCCAAACACACAAATATGTAAATGATGCCTCGCTGTGTAGGCTGCTATAAATGTATGCTGGTGCATATAAAAAACTGTGTGGAGGAAGAATGCTGGTTGGGATAATATATGAATGCCAGAGGATGGTAATGTGCAGGAAAACTTATGCGACGTGCAGACAAGAATGAGCAGTAAAGTATAGGCTGGTGTCAGGATCACTGCATACACGCTAACTCACACACACATCCATCCACAGGCCGCCCACAGTGAGAATGGCAGGATGCCTTTACTGCCACATCATCTTTGTGGATACAGAGAGCAAAACTCATACTGACCAAGAGTTTGTACGTGTGTGTGCATAGTATTTAGTTTACTGTGTATGTTTATGGGTGTGTGTTTGAGATTCCTTGTTATTTGTTTGTCAGACAGCCTGTGTGGTGTGAAAGCTGGCATGTGTCACTCTAGGTCAGCTCAGTGAGCTCTGCTGTAAACCTAAAAACAGCTGAACCACAATAAACTAATTCTTAGGAACACAATCATGTCCCGTCAGTCAAAACACAGGTCTTGATTATAGGACAGAGTGGGCATCAGACAAAAACAAGCTGCTGGTTTGTATTCAAGGCTGATGTAATGCCTTCTAAAAAGGACTGCAACGTAAGGTGCAACTGACATGAAAGCTATAATAATATTTAAACTGGATGTCAAGCTGTAAATATCAGCATTTGAGGCTGTTGTTGGGAAGCATAAGTGGTCGAAGAATGCAAACCTCTCTGCCACCAGGTCACACTGATAAAGATCAAGTTAAACCAATTTGTCTGAAGGAGATGGTTTGTACCTTAAACAGTTGGTTTTCAGGGTATGTTTTGCCTAACAGGATATTGGAGGATGGAAATGACTACACAAACGTTAGTTTTCATGTTTATAAAGGCAACAAAGAACTGGTAGTATGTCTAGCTGTTGTTGCCAATGGCTACCTTCAGTGGATAAAACTTAAGTCTGTAAAAAGTCACAGCACGATAATGATCAGGCTCTGTTTTATACCTGGTATTAACGTGTGTCTTGGTTGCTCAGATCACAAACTGAGACCACCAAGATGCATCTGATGATCACTCAAACCACTTGCAACAACTGCATTTCTTTGTTAGAGCTAACACTAATACATCCCCGACAAGGACTACGTCATTAGTGACTGTCTATTGTTTTGTCCTCTGGAAGGAGACAGCCCAGATTCTGCTGATAATGATATCTCCAAGTGTGTCGACACAACCGCTAACCTGACTAGCGAGCATGCTAGCAAGCAGCTGGCTAGAGTTTGAACATAGTAACAACAGATGTGACAATAATAAAATCTGATCAATGGTCAGCTGGAGATGCAAGACAGACGCAGGTGTGAACAGCAATGTGTCTCGACTGTCCACTGGTGTTCAGATCACCAAAACGTATGTTAATAACAGGTATAAACAGGCTGTTAGTGTCAGTATGGTGACTTTACAAACAAACCCTTTGGTGGTTTCACAGAATTTAGTTTTAGTTCAGCAATGTAAAACCCTCGTTAATGTCTCGTCATCGATGATGAGCTGATTATTCAAATAACATAGTGAATCAAGGGATGCAAGATACTCATCACCAACACCTGTATTACTCTTATGAACAGATGTTAAATTACCGTTTGGATTCCTCCCTTAGAGCAGGGAACTAAGGTTCCCTTTATACGACAATGATTTCAACTGAAAATGGTAAACTTTAGTTGCATTTTGGCCGATCGTTTACACGACAGCAGCGTTTTGGATCCCTGAAAATGCAACGTATTGAAAACGGGTTCCAGAGTGCAATTTTTTGGAAACGGCACCGTCTCCGTTGTCATGTAAACTTGCAATATGCAGTTCCTCTGAAAACGGAGACTTTTCGCACATGCGCATTACACTTCCAGTCACTAGGCATGCGCGAGAAAGTCGACCATCACAACAACAATGGCGGACTCCCGAGCTCTGCTTGTGCTGCTCACCCTGTTGAATTTATTAATGCTTCCCCATCATAGTGTAGATTTACTGTAGCTCCACCTCATCGTCCGTCCAGACAAACGTTCGTGCAGTTGCCAAATTGTTTGTTTATACATCGCCGCTCTGTAGAGGGAAGCGTAAGCGTCACACCGCCAACTACTGGCCTGGCATGTATACTGCAGCGTTTTGGTCGTTTTTTGCGGATCCGTGTGCATGGCGATTGTTATCAAAACATTGTTATCTAAACACGGAACTTTTTTCAAAACGAAAATGAGAAACAATTCAGTTTTCAGTGGATCGTTTTCGTGTAAACATGGCCTAACACTAGCTGCCCTTACATGGACAATATTTCTTCTACAAGCTGAAATCATTATGTTTAGTGATTCTAACTTAACTGTTGGGTAGCATCTAATTTTTCGCAAATATAACAGAAGAAGTTTTCCAACTTTATCGAGAAAATTGAATTCATTTGATACATAAAGTGTAGAAGAACTGGCAGTTGAACTGGTAGTGATAGACAATTGTTATGTCCAGCGACTCCCACAATGTTAGATGAAGCTACTGTTTAAAAATCAGAGCAGTCACATAAGGACGTAGCACCACCTGAAATATATAAATAAATATTTCTTTAAATTTATGAATGATTGTTAAAATCAGCAGAGGAAGGTGTGTAGAAAGAGCTGTCGCAGCATGTCGTGTGGCGCAAGCACACCCTACGTCATCTAATGTCCCTCCACATAGAGCAAACATGCAGAAAGAAGATATTTACAGGGTTATTAGGTACTAGATTATCAAAGCAGATTTAAAATTCCTTCCGATCAAGCCAGTCTCTTCCAACTGAGGTGGTTACATGAGGCAGTTTCATTCAGATTGGGCCATTATTCTGATTATAAGTAGAGTATTGGCATCCATGTCAACGCACCTACTGACTGACAGGTAATTAAGATAAATTGTTGTCTTTGGTGTCAAGAGACTATGGAAGAATGCGACAGAAGGTTTTCTAGAAATACCTCTGGCCCCATTTCTCTGCTGTTCTTTCAAGAAATAATAACTGGGAGCCCATCTGACCAGTGAGGTGGGCTGTGTGACTATATCATGTCAATCATCTTTATCTAGTTAGACGGGGGGAGAGGCAGGCTGCCTTAGATGGGGAGGGAGGAGTGTCATTCCCTACATAGGCTGAATTTCTTAAGGCTCAGAGCTTTAAATTTGGTTTTGTGCGTTACAATAAGAGCTGAAACAACTAGGTGACTCATCTGTTGCTTTATTTTGAAAATCACTGAGTCATTTGGTTAGTTTTTAATCCAAAATGCCAAATATTTGTTTCCAGTGTTTCCTATGTGAGGATGAGCTGTTTTTCTCTGTTTACTTTTAAATCACTCTAATTTCATATCTTTGGTTATAGATGCGATCTCTAGCTCGCTGGGTAAAGTCCTCTGCAGAATCCCGAGGTCGATTCTGACCTGCGGCACTTTGCTGCATGTCATCCTCCCCTGTCTCCCTCATCTTTCCTATCCAATCATCAGCTGTACTATCAATAAAGGTGAAAATTGATAAATGAATAGATAAATATGATTTGTTTTAGTATCCATTACCTGTTGATCAAATAAAGCAAGCTATATGGATGCCACTCTATACTCCAGAAAAGTACAATTAATTTAATTTTTGACATAATCAATTAAATATATGTTGATGAATCAACAGTGAAACAAATACTGAATTGCAAACCTGAAAACAATCTATGCTGATTGCCCAATGGCGGGTTTTATCGGCAGCGTTTAAGTATTGAAGATTCGTAGTACTGTCTCAGCTCAGGGAAACAAAGGCATCTCATTCAAACTGCTCCTCAATGATTTGCTGCACCACCTGACACTGTTATCATGGCTTTGAGGTCCACTTAAAATCTGCCATGATCTGGTTTGGCCCAGACAGCGATTTAGGAAGTTAGTCAGCCAGCCAGTGGTTTAGGATGTGGTGACTGTGTGGTGGCGTAGATGTGTCTGGTGAAGTGTGGTTTATTTCCTGTGATTAACCCATGGAGAATGGCTGCAGGATATCCTTCCCTCTTCCTCATCGACCCCTTCCATTCCTCCTCCTCCTGACTCAGACATTCCACACAGAGACCTCATCTCTTCGACACAGACACAATGCGAGAAACACAGCTGGAGTGGGAGAGAATCAAGTTTCTAATTTGCCCCTGCTTCCTCTTTCAGACAGGACTTTCTCCGTCACTGTCACTGCTCCGCTATCCACCCCTCTCGTCCTCCAATCTCTCGTCAGGGACAACAAGGGAGGGACACCCCTAATTTCACCCCGTCTTTCTTTTTCCGCCTCTTGACCAGCTCTTCTGTGGCACTGAATGTGTGACAGGCTCTTTCTCAGCGTCTCAGGAAATTCCTCATTCTGCCAAGGTCACGGCTGGTAAAGACACACACAGCTACAGCTCAGCTGGTTCTCAATTTCCCCACTGCCGCTTTCTTTTTTTGGCATTTATGTCCTTTTTCTTTTTTCATAAAAACCTGAGAGCTGGAGCTAGCCAGCAGGGGAAGAATTCTATTCATCCAATCTTGAGGGAACAAGCAGAAACACTTGAAGGAAGATGATGAAAAGAGGAGCTACCTCTGTACATCTCCAGCAACTCCACTAGGAATTTATAGCCACAACATGTTTTAGCACTACCAACATCTCCCACAAATAATTTTGCAATCTAGCTCTGCTCTTGCAGCTTAAAGGGACAGTTCACCCCAATAAGAAATACATATTTTCTCTCTTACCTGTAGTGCTATTTATCAGTCTAGACTGTTTTGGTGTGAGCTACCAAGTGATGGAGATGCCTTCTCTCCAATATAATGTTAACTAGATGGCACTTAAAAAATTATCCATCTACTCATGGACAAGAGGCTCGTGCTTGCGACAGCACAAGATGCAAACATTAATGGCGTCCTTCCCGGTTTAGCTATAACTTAGCTTGCTTAGTGGTGTTAGGTGAG